CACGATATCCGCCGCCGTTGTGTGTATGTTCTCTTTAGAGACAGTCCTAAATCTGTATGAAGTGGAAAGGAATTTGTGTTGTAAAAAACAGGATTACTACCCGGATTTTACCTGATGGTAAAACTTTTTCCGATGGGAGCCGTTTGGGTATTGGCCTGTTCGTAAAACCTTTTTCGACAGGAGCCGTTTAGGAAAATCGGGAGCCGAATGGGCTATGCCCTATTTTGGGACTAGTATTTTGTTTATCATTTATCTGTAGATTGCACATAATTAGTGAGCGAAGGTCGTGGTGCGACGTAGTACTGAGGATTCAATGTTATTACTAAATATTAAACAAGCGATTGACGTGCAGTGTGGACGGTGCGAGTGGTGCGAAACAATATAAAAGATAAAATTGTAATGATTATAAGATAAAACAAAAAACAAATATATTTTTTTAATTTTAATTATATTTTAACTTCATTTATGAAAAATCTAAATCATTTCAATTTTTAATTTCACGCGCACACACATAAATAAACAATCAATTTTTAATCATACCCGTGGAATTCATGGAAAGTCCCAAGTCTGTCGAAATAAGAGGTAAAATGGATTGATAAAATACAGCGTCCCAGGGTATTCAAAATAAATAATAAAAAAATGGTCGYCCAAACGCRTTACAATGTTTTAAAATCACTCGCCCAAACGCATTATGCTAAATTGCCCAAACACATTGCAATTTTTAAAAATTCGCCCAAACGCGTGACGCCCCATTAAGGCCGGTGTCACACTTGCGTTTTTTCCGTAGCGGAATTGGCGCAAAAATGTAAACTTATGCCTTGTTTACACGTGACGAGTACTCGGCCGAGCACTGTCCCGTGYGAACTCWAGRAACCAGTACTCGGCCTAGTAATCGGACGAGTAAAATAAGCAGGCGAGTGAATAGAAACAGTTTCTATTCGCTGGGCCGAGTGACTACCCCCACTACCAAGACCGAGCAACATAACGAGTGACACGGCCGAGTACTCGTCACGTGTAAACAAGGCATTAATACTACAGCTCAGTAGTAGCACAGAATAGATTTAATCTATTCCGTGGTAGTAGCTTTAAATGCGCCGATCAARATATGCTCAATGTTGGAGACCAAACGTCCTTTGGCCAATAAATCCGTGGGACTCCCATCTAAAAAGTTGCCGGAACGAAACGTCCGTCAACCGTTGAACACATGCGTACATCCGTAAAATCGTAAGCTTTGAAAGGACGTAAGTTCTAAAAAAATGATCTCTACAAATTTTATATTGCACTATCGTTCTCAACTTGTTGAAATACGAACGGTGGCGAGTGGCGGATTCGATACAGGAGAGGGGCACAGAGGTCAGAGGCCCGTGTCCCCTATTAGTTTTTTATCGACAATTATTTCATGTAACTAAGCGAGTTGAATCACATAAATGAAAAAATTAGTTAATAAGAATAATACTACCAAAGTAGGTACCAAACTACCAACACCAACTGACCAACTATTAATCACTAATCATTCATCATTGTAAATTGTTAATTGACTAAATTGTAATCATAAATTCACAATTATTATTTTATTTGCATTCAAACTGATAAAATAGGATTTACAGCTTTCTTATCGATACCTATTTATAATTATAACTGACAACTGTTAGCTATTAATTTAAACTTGAATCATAGAATTTATGTGTGCTCTCCGACCCCCCCCCCATATAAAAATATCGAAGGTCCTCCCCTGAACACGAATGTTCCCATGACAAAACAAAAATAATGCCGGGAAACGAAATTGAATTGTTCTGCTCCATTCTTTGTATTTACGCCATGATATCACATTATAGAGAAGATAAGGTGATACAACTAAACCACTTCCCTAATTCACAATTTTAAAAATTAGCGTCTTCATTACTTTATTACATCGTATCGTGTTCGTTATTTCTTATTTAAAATTTAAAGCTTAGTTATTCTCGTTAAATCTAATTATTTTTCGGTCAACTGCCTGTCGCCTGCGAGTTGTAATAAAATAAAATATGTTTTCGTTACACATGTAACCTAAATATTTATTATTTATTAATAGTTAGTCGCTTGTCGTTGTATGTATTCCTGTTGCGTTGAAAGTATCTATTTGATGTTACTCTTATTTAATATTTTAATATTTATGCTGAAATATTGTTGACAAAATAGTAGTAATCCAGATTCCAGAGCTCAGTTTCYAGTTCAAGTTAGTTTTATGGATTAACCCTGACTGTCACATACCTAATACAGTGTCTATACTGAATAATTATCAGCAACGTAAGTACTGACAAGTTTTTGTATTACCTTTA